GCCAGCGATTAACGTCAACACGGACGTTTGGCTAGCGAGTACGCTAGCCAGCAGCCACCGGAGGCTAGACATGTTATGTTCGAATGTAAAAAAAAATACCTTCGCTCAAACCGTTTTTTTTTTTTTGTTGTTGGTTATTTAAGGTCGCATCAACTGCTAGGTCATTAGCAACCACTATTGCTTGTAACAGTATGGTAACTGTGAGGATGACACGATATGATGATGATGAGGTGAAAGGACGAACACAATACAACCATGTCCGAGGCGGGACTCGAACCCACGATCCTTCGGTCGGAGATCACTACCGCACTTCGGCACTTCGGCACTTCTGCCTTAGCGATCTCGGCTACCGGATCGGCACTCAAAGCGTTGTAGTCAGCCAAAGCGTCGCACGTCGCAGCCAATCCGGTCATGGAGCGTTGGTTCGTAGCGACAAAAATAGGATGCGTCGTCGGTTGATTTGGGACCGCACGAGAGACTCCTCTCGGACTGGTTCTTTATCGCAAGGCGCGAGATACGAATGGCTGGCGCGAACTATTATTCGCTCCCGCGTGTGGGAGAGGCGTCGCGAGACGCTCTGAAGCAGACGCTGCCCTCCCCCGCTGCCAGCAGCTCGCGTTTAAGGGGTAGAAAGCCGGGCGGGGCCCTCGTGTTTGCCCGCCTCTCCCTCTCGCCATGTCGTTGGCTTTCGTCCTCGCTCACGTCTATATTCTCGGTCAAGCCCTCGTACTCTCCTTCGCCCACGCGCACGCTCGGGCTCGGGTTTCTGCTTTCCCCCGTCCCTGCTCTTAGCTACGCCCACGGTTATCATTGAATCATGCCTGCGTCTTGTTACTCGCCGTAACCCTCACACAGACCCACGCCCGCGCCCTTCTGTAGTCGCCCTCAACGATATCCGTGTCGACACCTGCATCCACATCCTCCTCTCCATTCTCGCTCTTGTCCGCTTTCCCGTTCTCGTCCACTACTTCGTCCGTGTTCTTGACCACGCCCTCCTCTACTTTATTGTTCATGTCTTCGTCCACGGTCATTTACTCGTCAACGGTTTCGTCCAAGCCCTCCTGTACATCCTCGTCTAC